CCAGTGGGGACCCACAGAAAACGGTCAGAAACAATCAGATAAGCCTGGAAGGAAAAGAGCAAAATCAAGATAAAAGCTGCCATTGTCACCTCCCCTTGGGTCTCTCACCCACATCTGTGTCACCCAGTCCACAACCAAAAGACAAGCGCAGTTTCTTCACGTGTCTCTAGGCTCCAAGCGCCTCCTCCAGGTCTCCTTCTGGCTCCATCCTGCTTCCTCCCTTCCTCAGTCTCCTCTGCAGCCTCTTCTCTTCCTGCTCAGCTCCACCCTCCATTTGGGTGGGGCAGGGAACCTGGAACCTCCCCCTTTCCTGGGGACCACCCTGTTACAAATCTATCTCAGGTTTATTGAATTGTTTGCCAGCCTGAATTAACCAGGGGCGTGGGATAAAGTTGTCCCCTGTGTCCCTACAATTCCTAGCAGTGGGTAGACTATTCTCCAGAATTGGAGCTCCAGGATTAGAAAGTGAAGTAGTTTTTGCACATTTTGTTACTATGGAATATAGGCAATAACCTACATTCAAGCGGCTCGCTATAAAAGTAAGATAAATTAATGGAGGGCAAATTTAGGCTTTAGTAAGACAGAAACAAATGCAAAAAGGGAAAGTTTTCCAGATTCTGGTAGCCATGTTGAGATTGAAAACCTATCACTGTCCTGAAGTTTTCTTAGATATGAGAAAAGAATTTGGTGGCACCAAAGTTATTTGACACTCTCAATCTGAAAGTCAACATAGTTTCTTTCCAAATGCTGAGTCATGCTTATGATGACAAGAAACACTAAAGACTCTTCTCTGAAGTACTATGCAGTAGTTCAGTACTTCAGGAGGTTACTTTCTACTGAAATAATTCACATATTTAAATTTGGCAATGGTAAGTACCTCCCTACCTACCCACTCACTCAGCTGTTTCCCTGTCAGCCCCCAACCTGTTTGGTTTTGTTTTTATTCCAGGATCAAAGAGAAGCTGTAACAAATATATGGAGGGAAGGTTTTTTTTTAAAATATTGTTTGTCAGTCTGTTGTAGAGTAACCCCGATACAAAATGGGGTGCCTAACTGGGTCCTCACCCACGCGCTTAAAAGGACTTATCAATGTTCTACTGCAGGCACACGCGAAAGGTTCATAAAAGGTTTATTTACAAGGGAAGGGGAAATGAGGAAATGTACAGCTCAGGGAGAAAAGTGGGAGACAAAGTTTTAAATGACTCCTACCCGATCTGCTGATCAGGAATCCCAAATGGCGCTCTGAGAGCTGGCCACGAGCCAGGAGCCATGAAGCCAGGAGGGGAGCGACAGCGAGCCCGCCCCCAAGGCTCACGTGTTTGGTTTTTATATCCAACCTGGCTGCCCAACTCTACCCTCAGGTCCCAGCCACCCTCCTTTTGGTGGTGATGGGATTTGTCTTTCCCAGTGTCTTGATGGCTTTAGTCTGGAGTGAGGTGGGGTCCACAAAGCCTGTATGGGATTAGCTCAGGACATCATTTCCCCTTAACAATTCCCCCCTTTCACTTTTTCATTTCCCCCTAACAGGTCTAGTGTAATATTTAATTATGAACAACTTCTAAATTAATTGTTACTCCCCTCCTATCCACAAAATTAGCTTAAGAATGGAAATTGCTTAGACATATGGAAAATTACAGTCCTGTTTAGATATCCCTATCAGTAACCAAACTTTTAGTGGAATTCTTGCAAGACACAGATGGGGTTTTGCAGAGTTGCGGGGTCCTTGGGTTCACTCTGGGAAAGGTTTCACCAGAGCTCCCGTTTTGGCGATACACGGTGAGTTCCCCAGGCAAGTTTCTCCATGAGACAGAGACTTTAGTTAAAGGGCAGGTTTTGTATGGTTGCAGGCAGTTGCCCTTGAGGAGAGCTGCCTCCACAGAGGGAGGTCAGTGAAGAGAAGTCCTGGCCTGGTACAGGTCATGGGCAGGCAGGAGGCTGCTGCCCTGCAGAGGGAGAGAGTTGGTGAAAGGAAGCACCTGCATAGTCACAGGTGGGCAGTGGGAGTGCTGCCCCAGCCTGTGCAGAGACTGCACTGATATAGTCCTCTTCTGTTTGGGAGGGGTCACTCCTCCGTGGAATGGCCCATTTATTGCTGATTTGGGATAACTAGGCAAAACTAGGAAGGGACCAGAGATTCCAGGGTGGGCCCAATCTCCATATCTTTACCCTCAGGTAGCATCTGATCCTGCTTGGGTTTCATGCCTTGAGATAAGGCACTGGTGCCTGAGGGTCTTGACCTCTATAGCTGGGTTAAGGTCAAGTTATTCCCCTCCATCCCCATCTCCTTGTGAGTCAGTTTCTGGTCTTGGGGCACCTCCTTTCCAGTCTTTTTATTCTTGTCCTCCATCAACAGGATCAGAGAGAGAGAGGCAGAAAAATGCCTTCAGTACTTCCAAATTCTGTCCTAAAGTTTAAAACCTTATGTGTTAGGTTAAAATAAAAAAAATTATTCCTTCTAGAAAATATTGATGGAGCAGATGGTGAATAATTTTTGATTTTATGTTTTTTGTGGGTCTTGAAGAGGTATTGTAACAGGGTGGTCCCCAGGAAAGGGGGAGGTTCCAGGTTCCCTGCCCCACCCAAATAGAGGGTGGAGCTGAGCAGGAAGAGAAGAGGCTGCAGAGGAGACTAAAAAGGGGGGAAGCAAAATGGAGCCAGAAGGAGACCTGGAGGAGGCACATGGAGCCTAGAGACACGTGAAGAAACTGCACTTGCCTTTTGGTCGTGGACTGGGTGACACAGATGTGGGTGAAACTCTTTGGGAGGTGACAATGGCAGCTTTTATCTTGATTTTGATTTTGCTCTTTTCCTTCCGGGCTTGTCTGGTTGTTTCTGACCCTTTTCTGTGGGTCCCCACTGAAAAATGCTTTAGACTTGTGACAGGCTTTGGGGCCTTGCTCTGGGCCAATCCCATTTGGATGGAGTTTTACCCACGAGGGGAGGGGTAACTTTGGGTGCTTAATTTAGAAACTAAATTCTTTGCCTTTCCCGTATTGTTTCCTAATTGTATTAAAGTTCCTTCCCATTAAAGTCTCATGTTTTGTGTTGATGCGGCAGATGGCAAAACCTATTTAAAATAGGCAGGTTTGTGGGTCTGGGCTGCCCCTCTCCCTGCCCTGTAACAGTATTATATATCTCTGAAATTTGAAGTTATGTAGTATTTATTTTTAAAAGTTAGTTTTTCTTTACCACTTTTGAGCAAAAGTAGATACCTAATTTACGCTGAATAAGTATAATGCAGCAATGTTTTTATCAAGTGAATGGAAGTGACTGTTTTACAACAACCTCCACCAGATGTCTAGCATCCTTCTGTTTTCCTTTGGGCCCCCGAATTAGGCAAGTGAAATGCCCAGTGCTTCTGACTTTTCTCAGCACAAAATTCTCTACGTTCTCTCATGTCCCATTCCATCAGGGTCTGACTTGGTGTAGGGGCAGGACAGGACACAGTGCAGGTTTTTTTCTATGATCCCATGCACACCGGGTAAAGGAGGAGTCCTGAAACCCTCAGTGGCTTTTGCAGGCTTTTATTGGGATTACCAGGTACACAGCAGGCAGCAAATCTTCACTTTGGGCTCTTTAGCCTTCTCTCATGTTCTCTCTGCTCTTCTCATGGCTCTGCTTTTCTCTCGGCTTCTCTGCTCCTCTGCTTCTTTCTCAGCTTCTGCTGGCATCCCCCTGACGCCGCCCTTAAAAGCCCAGTCTCAGCCTAGGTGAATCCCATCTACATATCCCTATATCCTACTCCAGGTGCCCACCATCTGGCATGCATTCGGGATCTCATGGTTCCCTCATCTGTCCTAATGGCGGGAGGGCAGAAAAGCCTGATACTTTTTACCTTACCCTACACTTGGTTAGGCTATCACAGAAATGGTAATGGGTTATTGATGATAACTGAGTCCCCACTGGGTTGTTACCTGGCAAGGTGAGCAGGACTGGTAGGGGAAATCAACAGTAGATATAATAGAGTCTGGAACAAATGATTCATCTAACCATTCATTTCAAATCAATAAACACTTATCAAACATTTATAATGTTGCAAGCACTGCTAGGTCCCAGAGTACAGAGTGAATATAAACACTGCACTGTTCTGGGAGAATCACCGGGAAGGAAATCCCAGATTGGCACCTGGAGTCAATCAGATTATTTCTTTTGTTGGTCTTCTAGAAATGTTTGGAATTTGAAAAGATGTGAAAATATTTTATATTACAGAGATTCTCAGCCCAGACTACTCATAAGAATTACCTGAGGGAGTTTTTTTTTTTTTTTTTTTTAAGTGCAACAGGGATACTGAGGATCGGGAAGCTTTAAAACAGTGGCACTCAAGGCTTTTAATGTGCAACGTAATCACTTGAAAGGCTTGGTAAGTCAGAAATTGGAATCCAGCATGCTGGAGTATGGGTGAGAGGCATTTCTATGAAGTTCTCAAGTGATGCACTTGAGATCACTGCCTGTGATGCCTAAACTTTGAGAGCTACAGTTTTAAAATACAAGGCTCCATTCACAGCTGATCGAATTGGTGTGGGGATGGGGAATCTGACATTTACCTTTCCCCTCTCTCCCCATTGTGCATCCAAGGCTAAGAACCACAGTTCCATTGGATGGACTACTCCGGATTGGCTGTTTTCCTGAAGTTAATGAGTTTGGCACTCAGTGAATCTACACATTCCTCTGGGTGACAATTCTATGGTATTTAAAGAAATAAGTGACTAAATAAATAATTGACTAAAACAATCAATCCACCACTGAGATTTTTGATTTAAACTAATTTGACTGCTTTCCACTGGAAGACCTTTCCGACCACCCACTGGGTATTTTCCAAAACCCCAATATAAATATTTGTATAGCACCCAGGTCTCCAGAAAGAAGCCCTTAAGGAAGTAACTTCATTTGAACTTCACCTGCACCCTCCTTGGGTCCACTTGGGCTCGCCTGGCACTTGCAGTTCCAACAAGTGAGCTGGGCATGCTCAGTGGGCAAGGTCGGTTTTGGGGGGTGCAACTGGGAAGCCTGCTGCCTGGCTGCGGGGGCTCATCGCCTCCCCCCACCTGTACGAGGCTGGGCCTTTGCTCAGCATCCCAAGCCCTGGCGCTTGGCCTTGGTCTTCCCGCGGGTTCCCGCGCTGACATTCAAGCCGGGGAGGGGGTGAGGGGGCCAGGAGGCCGGGCTCGCCTCCAGAGCACGCTGGGGAGCCCGGGGCCAGGGCTTTGGGCTCTGACGGCGGGGTCCCAGGGGTCCGCCCGCCTCCAAGACGCCTATCTAGACCCAGGGAAACATGTCGGCCGAATAGGGAAGCCAGACTCAGGGCTGGGAAGCGAGAAAGCAGGTAAGCCCGGCCCGCGGCGCAGAGTTGGGCGAGTGTCTCCCTTCTCCCGGGCCCGTGGCGAGGGCGGCTCACGAGGGGGAGGGCCGAGGAAATCCGACACCCCCACCTTTTCCTCCAGGCCCAGCCGGGCCGAGGCTTCCCCGCCTGGCAAGGCTGGGCGGGCGGGGGAGGGGGGGAGCCGGGAGCGCCCCAGGCTGCCCGCGCGGCCCGGGGCGCGGGCCTTCGCCTCCCCCGCGGCGCCGCCCCACCCGGAGGGGCTCGCGGCCCCGCGTCCGGGTCTAGTCGCGTCCCTGGGGCGGGGGAGACTCGCCCGGCCCCCGCCCGCGGTTGGCGGCGCCCAGGCGCCCCCGATCTCCCGCGCCCCGGCTCCCGCCTCCACTTCCGCGTTTCCCCGCCGGGCCGGAGGGGCCTGGGCCCGCGGCGGGCGGGAGGCGGCGGCCGCGCCGCCGGGAGGCCCGGGGAGGGAGGAGCGGCGGGATCGGGAGGAGGAAGTCGCCGGGAGGCGGGGGCGCGGCGGCGCGGGCGCGTCAGGTTACACCCGCCCGGCCGGCCCCGGAGTGACATCCGCGCGCCCCGCCGCCAGCTCCGCGGCCGAGGCTCTGATTCTGGGGAGGCAGAGACTCCGCCTCGGCTGCAGGAACTGGGTGCTCCGGCTCTCTCCTCGCGCGAGAGGACCAGCTCAGGTGTGTGCTCCCTGGGGGACCCGCGTCCCCAGCCCCCCGCGATTGTAGCCGGGAGTGGCCCCTGGCCGACGCCGGAGAGTCCTCTGGGACTGCGGTGTTGGACGAGAGGTGGCGGGAATCTGGGGAAAGATTTAGAATTTGCCCCCAACAACTGCAACTAGACTCATTCTTGTCCAGGGCTTACCATTTAACATTTTGGGGTGCGGGAGGGGGTAACGCGGTTGGCCCCTTAGTTAAGTGGCAGGACTTTTGGGGCGAGGGTTGGTATCCAGTTGAAAGTTTGCTGCAAAGTTTTGGCTGGTGAATGTCGCTCCGCTGAGGATTAGTTGCTTCTTCTGAAGCGAGGGAGAGAAAGATTCTAGAAGGGGGCTGGGGCATCTTTGAGATGCTGGAGTGTGACAGTTCTAGGAGGAAATGGAAGGAGAACTTAAAGCAGCCTTCGTTCCCCATGTAGTAACTTCGGTGAGCAAAAATAGATTTGCAAGAAGTGCTTTGGCAGGAAGGTAGAGCCTGCTGAATGAAGTGCTGCTCTTAGCAGTTGGTTTCTAGACTGCCTGCCCTCTTTTCTAAGGAACATTCACTCCCAGATCAACCTTCCTCAGGAGTTCCAAAGTGATTTACAAACACAGATTCTCACAAAGGCTTAGTGACACTGGGCCAAGCCAAATTACACAATCTATTATAAACGGGGGAGAGGGGCTGCTATAGAGATTGCTGACAGCTAATTTAGTCAACTTACACTTGTATAAACAAGTAAGGGAAGGAAGGGCTGATTAGTTACACTGAGCCTTTATTGCTTAATACAAAGGTGTTAGAATTTTTGTATGTTTCACCTCTAAGATCTGAAGTTTCTTTTTGGAGTGTGGAGGGTAATGGTAGGTGCCACACTGGGGCCAGGTACTTCCTCCTAAGTTTAGTCTCTGAGTCCTTAAGTTCTCGCTGGCCATCTCTGAAAGCTGGACGCCCAGGGAGCCTTGTGATGTGGATGTGTGTCCCCTTTCCACCATGGGGGTCTTAAGTCAAGTTACATCACTCCCTTGATTTTTCCAAATCACCTATTTAGGTAATGCAGCAATGCCTTAGTGAGTAATGGATAAACTGTGGAGCTTTGGATTTGAGAACCAACATTGTTGGAGTTGTCCATTCAGATATCTCATAGTCACTTTATAAAAATTTCTGAGCATCACTCAAACTCTGCTACCCTTTCCTTCTTTCTGATTTGTTAGAAATGCAATGACATGATTTAGTAAATGACAGGAGGACCATAGTGTTAGCACTTGACTGTGGGTTTTAAACCTCCCCAGTTTAGTTTTTGTAACTACATGATCTCCTTATAAATATTTAAACTACTTGACTATCATTGTACAGAAGTCATTTTGAAAAGTGATTATAACTGTAATTATCCTGTTTGGTTTTCTGTTTTTACTCTTTCATTTCTAGAATCTAAGTCCTGTTGAGAGGGCTTGGTTTGCTTCATACACTTTTGTATTTCTAATGCCTCGAGTGGTTACTAGCTTGTAATAAGCACCCAGTAATGTTTTCATAATGAATGACTGAACTGCAGGACAAACTCTAGCTTGTAATAAGCGCTCAATAAATGTTTTCGTAGTGAGTGACTAAACTGTGGGACAAGCTCTAGCTTACTATAGTGGGGGAAGAAAACCAAAGACTTTGGCCTTAGGCAGCCTAATTAAACTCACTGAGGCTCAATTGTCTCATTGGCAAAATGTGGATAATCATATGCTATAACATGTGAAATCACTAGTCATGTACCTTTTAGGTAGTAAACTTCAAAGTGTTTGCTTCCTTTTTTATTTTTCTTTTCATATTAAAAGAGATTTGGGCAAAGTATATAGTTAATTATATAATTTAGCTGCTGCATGTTGGATATAAATTATCTACTTTTTTTTTCATTGAAAATGGTGTGTGTAATGGAAGGACTAAGGGAGGTAAATTAATGGCCATTATAATTATTAGAGAAGGGAAACAATTTCCTGATTGTTATCTAGTTCTTATTTTTTGATTTGATGATGTTTCTGCTTAGGTTTTCCTATATTTGATTCTTTCTGCTTGTGTATACCTGGATTGACACCTATGTTGTCCCAAGTGAAGAAACAACACTTAAAAAGAGCATTAGAATCAAATAAATGTAAACTGAAGTTTTATATAGTTTTATGCAGCATTAGTAGTAACAAGTACCTAGGTAAAGAACAAATATAGGTATCATTTTTGAGGTGAAAGATAGCTTAGCAGGGTAAAAACAGAATGTAGAATTAGAGATCAACATAAACCTTGCATAATTACATGCAAGTGGTAGGATATTGGCTCTAACCATTGTGGATGTGGGAAGTAAATGTTTTAACATGGGCTTAAGTAGTTGGAAGACAATTTTGTGGTGAAGAGAATGTCACTTTTAGGAAGAGAGAGACGCAAAGTTTCCTCATGATTACAGCAAAAGAAGATGGTTGTTTCAAGAATGTTTGCAATTTTGTACTTAAATGTATTACAAAGCCAGCATTATCAAATACTTTCAAAAATGAACTTTCTATGAAATGTATGTTAGAAACCTACTGTAAAATTATGTACATTAAATAATACTTTCCACTGTGTTGCTGAAGTTTGAAAACCCAGGATTGGAGTGAAAAATTATTACCTTTCATTCTTGCCTCTTTTAGCAGGCAATTGGCCTGTTAATCTGGCCAATATGTACAATGGGATACGTTTTTCATCTGACGTTTCAGGGGAAAATTACTAGTCATGAGGTTCTGGATCCCTACAACTAGCTAATTTCAGGATTGTTATTTTGGGAGACAAGGAAGGACTGACTAGAACCTGAGAAGGTATTATCAAAGTGGTTTTAAATGCACATTATCAAATAATGAAATTCATCAGAGTAAATTTCAAGATCTGATTGACTTTAATAAACAATTCAAGAATCAGTATCCTATCTAGTTAGTAGAAGGGTGCTCTGAGGATTTGTACAAAATGGAAGGTTTTTAAAGTCAAAAAGTGGGGGGATGGGGATAATAGGTTATTTATCAAGAGAAAAAAGTTGTTTTAGGCTGGTCCACTCAATTACAGGCGGGGGGGATCTTATGTAGATTTCCTCACTGTGTGGATCAAGAAATTCCAGAATGGGCCTCCCCGGTGGTGCAGCGGTTGAGCGCTGGGTTGCAAAGCTGCCCGCAGCCTCTGCAGCGCTGGTTTGATCTGGGTGAGGGTCCCACATGGCGCGCAGACCTCTCCTACCGCCCGCTGCTCCCCTCAGCAGTGTACTTGGTCACTCTGCCTGTTCTACTCTCCGCTCTGGCTCTGGTGAATTCTCTCACCCTCCCGTACTTCTGACTGTACCCAGTGCTTGTATAAATAAAAAAATAAGTCTTTAAAAAAAAATTAAAAGAATCACTATTAAAAAAAAAAGAAATTCCAGATTGATTGGTTTAAAGCAGTAAGTCTTGGTGGGATTTGGCATAAATGACTTGGGCCTGTGGTTTCTTTTTTAAAAACAACATCAAAATACATAATTCCTTTACACCTTTGAGATAAAAAGAAAACTTGGAAGTTGTATGAAAAAGAAGAAAACAACTAATTGAAGGCATGTATATTGTCTTGCTTTAGAATTGTTGAGGGTGGGGGCCTCCCTGGTGGCGCAAGGGGTTGAGAGGCAACCTGTGAAGCTGTTTGTAGCCTCTGCAGCATGAGTTCAATCCCCAGCCGGCCAGAGAGCAACCCACATGGCGCAGCAGACCTCTCCTGACTCTCCTGCTGCTCCCTTAAGCAGTGTTCTTCGGTCAATCTCCTTGTTCTGTTTCCTACTGTCTCTGGTGAATCCTTTCACACCCCACACCTTTGGCCTGTACCCCAGCTCTTGTATACATAAATAAATATTTTTTTTAAAAAAAAGAATTGTTGAGGTGGGGGAAAGGTGTTTAGGAGCGAAACTAGGATCAAGGTGGTAACAAGCCAGCAAATCTATAGCACCTTCAGAGTAGACTTCTTCCTATAGTACCTGACCAGGTTTTCATTTTGTTAGTCTACAGACTGAGGGGCACCTTGGGACCCTAAACATATATGTTCTAAATGGGTTCTGCCCTCTGCCACATAAAGACAAAGCAAATTGTTAGTGTGAAACAACTTTAATAGAACAGTGTGCATGAAGAGAAAAGAGAAGAATATAGTCTTCCAATGTAACACTCAGTTACCCATCCCCTCATGGTTAAATGCCTAGCTAAAAAGGGTTGGCACAAAGTGGGACTACTGAAACCCAAAAGCTTGCCACAAGTCTAAGGCACCTTCTGGCAGGGAACCAGGAAAGGG